GCGCGTCGGGTCGAAATTCTCGTCCTCCGCCACCACAGGCTTCAGGTCCCGGGCGAGTTGCTTGAGGAACAAAGCCTCCAGCCTCTTGGTCGCTTCCGGGTAGGATTTCAGTCCCTGCCGAAGCCCTTCCGTGTCGGCCACCCCGGCCTTGGTGCAGGCCCGCATCATTAAGCCCGTAAGCACGGCGCCCGGGTCCTGCCCGCCCTTGCCCTCGCTCTCTTTCCATGGCACGTGTGCCTCGCCTTCCTCTTCTCCCTCCCTATCGCCCTTCGCGGGACGTGCAGGCCTCGGATAGTCCCCGCCACCACGGGCAAGGAAGGATCGGTACGCAAAGCTGGGAGGATGTGTGCGCATTCCTTCCAGCCGAGGAACATCGGCCTGAATGATCGCCCGCCATTTTTCCGCCTCAGGGGCTGGCAGTACTGCAGACAAGGCATCCTCCAACGTGGGAGGGGCTTTCACCCTCTTGGGAGGCGAGGTCAGAGGGCGAGGGAGGGGGAGCATACCATGTCTGGGTTTGCTGGACGAGGAAGGTGGCCCGGGCTGTGCGAAAACCGAGGAAATGGCGTCCTCCAGCATACTATCGGATGGTGAGTGGGCGGACACGGAGGCTGGGATTTGTGCATCGACAGATGTATTCTGGGGGGTAGTGGCACTTAACACATCCTCTGCCGCGTCATCCAAGAGGGCGTCTAAGTCGTCGTCGTCCATTTTCACCACACCTGCCAGTGATGCAGTGGCCGTCCCTTCCTGTACCGTGGGGGGAGTGTGTGTTATGGGTGGCGACGGCGGAGAAGTGAATTGTATCTTGTTAAATATTGCATTATATTCTATTAATATGGGGGGAGCCAACGCACAGCGGCGGCGAAGATGCGTCTCGCCCCGCCGGAGGACTTGTTCCATCTCTTGCACGCCATCTATGAAGGGCTCTTGGGCCCAAAACTTTGCCAACAAACACCCATACGTGTGCACCGTTCGGATGCATTGTTGTCGGGTGCTGTATGGAGGGACATACCAAGTTGTGGGTACCCACTTCGGAAGTAGCAGAGGGCTGTGGGACGTCGCCCTGGGAGGAGGTCGAAGCCGTTTCCTCAAGTGCAAGTTGCCTCACGCCACCTTTCCCACCTCCATGCGCTTGGACACCACAGGACGGCACCGTGTCAGACACAGGATCGAAGGGGGGTGGAATCAGACGACAAGATTGTCGCATGGCCAGAAAAAGTGGGCCGTCCACAAGAGAGAAGTGGAAGCTCCTTCCCCTCCTTCTCCTCCCCCTCCTCCACCCTGCTGCGGCCTTCGTTCCTCCCTACCGCAATCCCGACATCGCCTTTGACGCACGTGAAGCTTTGGTTACGGACAACAGAGTTGAGTCCATCTCATTCCGCCGTCTGTCGGTGAAATGTGCTGAGGCGACCTCGAGCGCCCCCCCAGCCTCCCCTCCCCAGCGCCCTCCCTCCTCCCCCAGATCTTCTGAGGCGAATCAACGCTCAGTCATCTCTTCCACCCTCCCTGGTGGCAATTGGCCCCCGAACGGCTTTCGTCCCTTCAAATCCTTGCGAGAAGAGAACGGCGACGTGGTCCTGGACGTGGACGAGCCCCATCAGCCTTTGATCGCCCCCCTGACCTCTCAATTCTTCGCTGGCTTTCAGTTGCGAGAGCTGGACGACAGCAACATGAATACATTCTTGAAAGACACGGGGAAAATACAGAAAACGTAAGCGGACGGGAGGGCGGATTTGGGGGAGGGAAGGAGAGAGGGATAGGGCGAAGAAGCCATGTCTGTACGTCACGCGGTGCGTCGCTGGAACCCGCTGGGACCCCTGACCAGGCGTGCTCAAGGCCCTAGGGGATGCCGCCTTCCAAACATCCTCACCTTGCACACGCACGTACTCCTGTTTCGCTTTCTGCACCAATGCCCTCATCCCCCTGACCCTGCCTCCCTTCCACGCCTCCCCCTCCCCCTCCTCCTTTCTTTCCTCAGCTTACGGACCCTCCTGTGGTTCGCCTACCTGCTCTGGCCCTACATCGGCTTCGGAATTTTCAGCTCCATCCTCGCCCAGCTCCTGCTCGCGACCGTGAGCCAGGAGCACGTGGAGCAAGGCTCCTTCTTGACCATGCTGGACGTGAAAGACTACCCGGATTTAAAAATCGGCCACGGCTTCATCGGCTCCATCCTGGGCTTTTCCATCGGTGGGGAGGGAGGAAGGGGGGGCGAGGTAGAGGAGATCTCTTGCAATGGCTGAGGCGGGACAAGGCCCTGACCCGGTGT